CTGCTCCAGATACCTGTGCACATCATTAATCCTCAAAGCTTTTCCCCCACATTGTGTTAGGTTATATCATATCAAGTCGCATAAATAGATACCCCAGGCCTCTGTCACAGCCCCAGTTCATCACACACAGCCAGACACTGAATCTGTTTTGGCTCAGCTGAGTCAGACAGACACACGAGCATGCACATGCCCAGGGGTAGAGCTGGGGCTGGAATCAGCCCTCTGTCATTCCACAGTGTTCTCTTTCTATTAAGCCAGGCATCTAATGAGCCCCTGCTGCTCACATGTTCACAAGCTTGAGATATTCTGGTAAGGAGCATTCCTGTTTATTCCAGTTTGAAATGAGTTTACATTTCTTTGTCTAACACAAAGGTTTGAAATGAATGATAGCACTGGAAAAATCTCAGAAAAAATTGCAAGCATTGCTAATAAGCAGATCTATCTAGTGTTTAGGATGAAAAAATTTTCTTCTTTAGAATTCTGTAGACTCAGAATCTCCCTTTGGCAGCACCTTGCATTCTGCATGTCTTTGGAAAACAATTTATAAGGAAGAGTAAATAGAGGGAGAATTGGTTTCTGGCAGCATGTTTTATATGAAGAGAAAGTGCATGGGGACAGGATGGAGAGATTGCTAAGGCTAAAGTTTTGGGTCCATTGAAATGGTCACTGTGGCAGGGCCCCAACCTCAGAGTGGTTCATAACCTTCTTAAAGGTCTGCATGGGTGCTATTGTTGGTTATAGTCAGGCAGGAAGAATAAGTCTTTGTTAAGATTGCTTGTTTCTCTGCCTCGCTGATAAGCGATCAAGAAAACACTGGAGTGTATCTCATCACCTTCTGTACCCCGAGGGGTGGACTGTTTGTTTCAGCCCCCGTGGTTGTGGAGTTGACATTATGGATTTGATGTTGACATGGGGTGTGACCCAGACTGAACCCTGGAAGTGGACACTCGTGCTCTGAGCGGTGACCATCAGTGGTTGGGAGACCGAGGAGTGTGAGTGCGTCAGAGCAAACAGATGCCATGGTGGATCAACAACTCAGAGTACGCGCTCCACCTGTGGGAAGTGATATTGGCATACGCCGGGCATTTTAAAAGGGAATCGTGCATGTATCTGGCACTTAATAGAATTTTTTGTTTAATTTGTATTTCTTTGATCTCTAGAAGGTTGAATTTGGTTCCTGCGTGGGTTCACGGGCCATTTTCATTCCATCATCTCTGGGGCCCTTGGCCACAAATGTCTTTGAGGCCAACCTTGTTCGGCAATAGCCCCTAGTCTGTCAGCTGATTTTCTCCACACTTTCACCTCTCCCTTATTTGATACCATGAAACTGTCACATTTGATCCATCTTATCATTAATGTCTGGAGTACCGTCAGCTCCCGTGATAGAGAGCTCTCTCTGGGCTCTCGAATTGTGCTTTGTTTGTGCCATTCAGCTCGTCTCTCTGGGCTGTAAGCAATAAAGCAGAAAGGATCCTTTAGCTTTTCATTTCTCCCACACACAGGGCTCCCTGCCAGCACCCCTGAATCCCCACCAGCTTTTCATCTGAACAAAACCCTGTCCAGTGCTAAATATAGTTTTATTTAACATAATTGTAGAAGGTGCTTTCTACTTTTAAATCTAGACTGGGCAGGGAACAGGACATTTACATAACAAGTCAGTGTTAGCCCTGTAACTAATCTCCTCTCTTCTTTGGGCCCATGAGTAAACTCAGGAACAGAGAGGTGAGGTGCCCCAGCTAATTAAATCCCAGTTATCTGAACTTCAACTAGGTGCTCCATCCACTCCCACCCCCACAGCAAACACTCACACCTGTGTAACAGACAAGGAACACTTGATTCTCTGCAGGTGGTGTTGCTTCCCTACAAGTAAGTGCTTGTGGATTCCAGTTTCTGTTTTCCCATCCAAAGCAAAACTGGATCACCAAACAAACAGAGAGATCTTGTCCAGTTTTCACAAATGTTTTTTCAGTCACTTCCCTCGGCTGGAGGCTAGTTCTCCTCTGCAGTGTTCTAGGGTTTTAACCAGACCACAGACCTTCCAAGTGAAGCTGTGGCACTCTCATCAGACTAGCTGTTGGGGACTCCTCACTCTGACTTAATGGCAAATGCAAATACCTTTAGGGGCCAGGAATATACGTCACCATGTCAAGTCACTGGAGTAGGACTAAAGACCTGCCATGAGGGCAGGGACTTCATCCATTGTCCGCTGATTTATCCCAGTGCCTGGAGTAGAGCCTGCACACCATAGGCCCCCCAATAAAATATGTAGAATGAATGATGGGGACTGCAGAGAACTGGGACGTGCATATCTCACAGAAGCCATTCTTGTCAAAAAGGCACGCCTCTCGGCCATATTTGGCATCCAGCTTGCAACTCCTATGATTGAATAAAGAAGGCTATTTATGGATGGAATGGAACGATGACTGCCAAGCAACATTGATGTCCAACTTATCACTTTGATATTACATGTTTAATTGGAGTCAGGATGCAGATAACTCTTTCTGGTTAACACCTCTTAAGTCCTTGTCATTAATAACCTTGGCCCTTCAATGACCCTGGAATAATTGGAGATTTGTGTAAATTTTCATACTTTCCCTTCTATCATGCTGTGATCCTTTTTTTCTGAATCCCTTAGTCATATGTCTTTCTTTTCAAAAGATGTACAGATGCACCTCTTCTACCAAATAAGGGGCAAACTTTCTAAATACAAGCTTTATTTACTAAAAGAAGGGTCACAAATTGGCTTTCCTACATGTAGCGTTGCCTTTTCTAAAATGGATTTAAGCAAACAGTGGCAGCTGTTTCGTGCCAAAATCATTTTGAGCCCAATTCATCTCCGAAATCTGCCACATCAAGTTACAGGGTCCTGATGGTGGGGAACAGCCTCTGCAAGTTTTTCCTACGGTGAAGAGTTGGTCCTGGCTGCTCCCTTGGATGCTGCCCTTATTCTGGTGGGTCTGTGTCATCATCTCTCCATCCCATTCTGACACTCTAGACCCAATTTTTTTGGTTAGTAGCAAAGTCCCTTAAACCAAAAGGAGTGTAACTATTGGATCAGTCCCACAGCTGCTGTGGAATAGACAGGCTGGAGAGGAGCCCTCTGAGCACAGGTACCCTAACCCTAGGATGGATTGACAGGTATGAGACCATGTGCATCAGCATGGAAGCCCAGAGCCAGCTTCTACACTGTGGAGTCAGCCACTGACTTGTCACTTAGACACTTTGATTCCCTAATGAAGCAGGAGGGCCATCGAAAACATCCTCTAATGAAACAAAACCTGCAGTAGAATCTACTTGGAGGAACAAACTTTGCAAAATCAAGCCATAGCTATCATTAGTATGTTGGCCAGGAAATAGGAGTCAGATAGGTACCATAGAAGGTACCAAAGGCATTAAAATTCCAGATTTTCTCAAAACATTTTACTGGTAAACACACACACACACAGGCCTGCAGGCAATATTTGACTTCCAGTTTACAAACCCTGTGATGGGATAAATAAAATCAATAATAGATGGAAACCATTCCTGCCAAGCAACATTGATCTCCAGCTTACTGCTTTATGCTGTATGTTCAGATGAACTCAAAGATGCAGATAATTCTTTGTGGATGAAGTACCTCTACTCCATTAATGACCTTGGCCCACATCTAGACTGATTGTAATTTTGAGCCATGAATGTAAAAGGTAGAAGCAAGTTGTGTCAGTTAGTAATATATTCAGCCACAAATAACAGAAAACCTGGCCAACAGTGGCTTCAATGGAAGGGGGTTATTTTTCTCATGTAACAAGTTGTTCACAGGCAGGTAGTGATTCACAGTGGTCCAGCTGATCCAGTGCTGTCTGGGCCCAGGCTCTTTCAGTCTTTCTGATCTACCTCACTCAGCATTTTGGTATTCCTCCTCACCCTTGTTATAACTGCACATCTATGATCAAGGCAGAAAGAAGTGAGGAAGGAGAGCATCAGCTGCATCTGTTTACCTGATAAGGAAAACAAAAGCTCATCTAGAAACCTCCTCTGCAGGCTTTCCCTTCAGGCTCACTGGTCAGAATTATGTCACATGACCACCACTAGCTGCAAGGGAGTCTGAGAAATGGAGTATTTTGTTTGTTTGTTTCAGCCTCCTTGATGGAGGAGAGTAGGGAGGAATGGGCTTGAGAATAGGTGTATGAGCTAACACACAGTGGCAACCAAGACACTGCAGAGAAACTCTTTTGCAATACTCTCATTGTACAGATGACACAACGGAGTTCTAGAAATGGGAAGTAACTCGGTCAAGGTCCCATAATTAGATGAAGTTAGAGCCTTATCTATAGCCCCAGTTTCCTAATTCCCAGTCCAGAAGGCTACCCACTAGACCACACCATGGGTGTGGTTTGACAGAGTCTGTGACTGAAGCTCTGTTGAGGAAGTAGAATATCATCCAAAAAATGAGGTAATGGATATAAAACTGTCAGCAGTGGGGGCCAGCTCGGTGGCATAGTGGTTGAGTTCGCACGCCCGGGGTTCGCAGGTTCGGATCCCAGGCGCAGACCCATGCACCGCTCATCAAGCCACGCTGTGGTGGCGTCCCGTATAAAGTAGAGGAAGATGGACACAGATGTTACCCCAGGGCCAATCTTCCTCAGCAAAAAAGAGGAGGATTGGCAAGAGATGTTAGCTGTTAGCTCAGGACAGATCTTCCTCACACTAAAAAAGAAAAACACTGTCAGCAGTGAGCAGAGGATGTAATAGCTTCCACTTGAGCTCTCCTTTCTCCCTCCCTAAGAATCTGAAATAATTCAGTGGGAGTCACAGAAGCCAGGCCAAGTCAAATCAGGCCTCCTCTAGGTTCCCTCCTGCTGTGTAGACTTTTTAGCTTCACATTCCTTTGGCACATTGATGTTTGTGTGTGTTATAGCAGAATCAGTCTCATGATGAGCACCAAGATAATGTAGAATTTCCATGTCATTGTTAATGTGCTGTTCTTGTCTTCTGTCCCCTTCTGTTATTGGATCAAACAGAAGTATTCTGCTGTTTCTCTCTGCAACATCTCCACAGAAGTCCTGAAAGTTATCAACGCCACAGAGGAGTTGATAGCAGAGTCTGCAGGGCCCTGGGAGTTCCCACCTGTCCCTCCTGACAGAGAGAAGGGGACATTTCCTCTTGGGACAGACCAAGTGAGACTGGATGAGCAGCTGACTTCCCTGGAAGAAAACGTAAGACAGTGTGGCTGTGCCATGTCAGGGCAAACGTGTGTGAAGAAGAAGCTGATGAAGTTGTAACTCATCACAAAGAGTGCAAGGACACATACACATCACCACCACCACCACCATAGTAAATATATTCTCAGGAAGGGTCTTAGGCTGGGTTCCCCAGAAGCAGACCCTGAGGTGAGGCTTTGCATACAAGTGATCTGTTAGGGAGCTGCTCCCAGGGGAGGCTGGTAAAGAAGTAGGGAAAGAAAGGGAGAGAGAAGAAGCCAAGCAAAAGTATGATCTTAGACAAAGAGTAGCTTTGACCTGATCCTGCAGGGAGCTCTGGGGTATAAGTTGCATCTCAGAGTTGTCCTGACCTAAGGCGGAGGAACTGGCCCTTCCCTTAGCCAGCAGGCTCTTCAGTCTCTGCATGTAGGCAGATTGTCAACAGTAGCCCAAAGATAGTCTTACATGTAGATTTGAGTTGTTGGGAATAAAAGCACACTGAAGCTCGAGGGGTGGGGAGGGGAGTACACAGAAACTATAAAAGGGATCTGTGGGGATCCGGGTGGAGCACTGCCAGTGCCGCCACAGGAAATGAGGGTGGTTGCCAACAGAACTTAGTTACTGCGGACTGGTCTGCCCTGCTTCACAGATATGTCTGCTGGTAATGGATTTTTCTATCTTTCTGACTTGTGAGGAAAGAAAGAATGTAATAGATTCTTACATATAAATATCCACAGTCATTGATGAGTATTTCAATAAATGTCTGATGATAATTTTCTAGCGCTGTAGACCAAGGGTGATACAGAGAGATTTGGACATTAGCCACTGAGGCCATCGTCACCATCACCAGCTGGCACAGTCCGATACTGATATCAGATCAAGTCAGGTGATTCCCTCTTTCCAGATTCAGCAGAATCAACCCTGATTTTGGGGTGCTCTAATGAATGCTGTTCTCAGAAATCAGGAATTGTTATTAGAGGTAATTTTTGCTAAAAGTTGAAACAACAACAAATCAAAATGACTCGAGGTAAAAAAAAAATGCCAATATTTGTTTCACCTTAAAAGTTGAAGACTCTCTCCCTTTGGATTCCCATAAAACCTTAGCATATGTCTATCTGGCCACTCATCTCACTTTGCTGCCCTTTCTGTTAACGTGTCTATCTCCCATTAGATTGGCACCATTGACGTTTTGGATTAGATAATTCTCTACTGCAGGGGGCTGTCCTGTATGTTAGGATGTTGAGCAGCATCCCTCGTCTCTACCCACCAGATGCCAGTAGCAGCACCCTCCTAGTTGTGACAATCAAAAATGACAATCAAAAATGTCTCCAGACATTGTCAGATGTTGGGGGAGGGGGCAATGAAAGGAGGCAGGGGCACAATCACCCCCAGGTTGGGAACCAGGCATATAAATTCCTGCAGAACAGGGCCTGCTGTCTTTCATGTGTATAGCCCTGGGCCTTGACCCAGAGCCTGACACAGAGGAATTGCCCAACAAATGTTTATCTGATGTATGATTACATCGCGTGAATGAAGTTCGTTTTTAAAAGGAGAAATGTCTTACTTCTCAAGTGCAAGTCTTTGTTGTTTAAGTATGTCTATAACACAGTTCTTTCAGTGCTGATAGTCCTAAAATGGCCCTAATTGTGGACACAGAACTGAAAAGGTTAAAAAAGACATAGTTCACCCGGGGAAGGGATGTGGTTTTTTACAAAATATTGTATCAAAAACACTTACAATGCATGAAATACCCAGATTTAAATGATAGTGCCAGTCCCCATGGCAGACTTAAAGCAAACACAGTATGCCTTTTTGTCCTCCAAGGAGCATGTTGAAAAATACAATAGCTTTGTTGCAGTTTTCATTTTGTAAGATCCTTTTATTATACATTGTTTCTTTTCTTGGGTTCGTTAACACTTTCAGTTCGAAACACATCCACTCACCCGCTGATTTAAGGTGTCAGAAACCCCAGCAAGGATACGTGCTGAGAGGCCGGGCTTTGTCATTTGCTCTCCCCTGCCCAGCGCCTCTAAGATGCCTCTCCTGTCCCCAGAGAGTTAGCTGCCTTCTTCCTCCTCCTTCCTTTCCTCCCATCCAGCTTTTCAAATTTCGCCTCAGAAGAAATTCCATCTATGTTCCTTTGACTTCTATGGGTGTTTGAGTCAGAGAGGGGATGACTCGGCTTTATCTCTTTAGCTCACCAGATCACAGAGCCACGGGCAGGTTGCTACGCTCTGCAGTTTCCAGGATGGAATTCAGTTGAGCAGCGGGAGAAGGGCAGGGCTGGTTCTTACACTGGCCTCTGGGTGCAGCTGATTTAATTAAACCATGGTTTTTGTCTGTCTGTGTTCTAAAGACTGCCCCTTCGTTCCTCTGCTATCTTTCTCTTTTGTGCTGAGGAACCCGGGGACCGTCAGAAATAGAAATGGCGACACTGATTCTCGCCTTCTGAACGTTGGCTACTGCAGACCAGGACTCCAAGATGAAAGAGAACATTTGCTTGAGACTATTTCACCTTTAAAAATATTTCTGAAGGCCTCAGAGCTACATAAGACAAAACAAAAAATGTCACATTCGTATGTCAAACCTCCTGTTTTCATAAATTGCCTTGTTAATCCACTTAATTAGGGTAGGGCATGGGGATTTTAGAATTCCCTTAGTCTCTCACTTGCTGCCTGGCCACAGCACTGTGAAATCAGCTCTTGTCTCTCCTAAAGGCAGGAGGAATCTTGGGTCAATCCCAGCCTCCCCTGCGCACGTAGTGGGGGCTCAGTTCCTCAGACTAAAAGCCTGGGTCTCTTGCATTTGAAGCTCTTGCTGAGAGCTGTGAAGCATAGGGTTCTATTGTACCTGTAGGAATTGGGCTGGGAGAGGAGAGTTTCAGGAAGGACTATTAACTGAGGTGTGGGCAAGGTTAAGGGATACTGTAGTGCTCAGAGAGTAGCAGTAGGAGGAAGAGGTCACCAGTCCTGGGCACTGTAGTCCAGGGAGAACTGGAGCCTAGAAAATCACCCCCTAATGGGAGCTGTCACCATGGAGCCAAAGCAGGCAGACTGCAGGGGAAGAAAGACTCTAACTTCTTTCTTCTCCTGCTGGTGTCTCCCATTGGCCAAACCTATCCTGGCCAGCGAGGGAGTCTTGGTGAAGAAATTCATACAGGTCAGCCTCACAGAAAACAAAGCAGGGCAGAGGACGGTGGAAAAAGGATCTAGGGATCAACAGAGAACAACTAGCATAACCATTCTCAGACCTGTGGTGTGATTATTAGAGACCTACAGGGGCCACCCTGTGAATTTATGCAGGGTTGTGAGTGGGAGGTATGAGTCAGCTCCCTCCCCCTCCCACCCCCATCTGAGGACCTTCCTCATTCTCATCTTGGCTAACCTAGGGTACCCCGTAATTCACAGCCACAGAGGGAGTAGAAGGACAGTGCTAACTTGCCTTTTATCTTGGCCCTATAACTCTCAGCAACACGAAATACACTGCCCATGTAATGTACAACCAGTGGCAACAGACACAGTGGGACTGCCCCACGGGGAACCCAGCTTTGTCACAGAATCCAGGATCAGGCAGAGGATGTTGTCCTCCTTCTCAAAGCCCTTTCTCATACAACCGCCACAGCACAGGAGAGGATGTGGCACTAGAACTTGTGGAGGTGGTCATGGCTATTCAGCTGGTGAAAAGAAATACTATCAGTTACTGTCTAACCTTAGCCCTCTAAAGTGTATTTCATGGAAGCCAAGTCCAGCAAGATGCTCTAAGATCAAATAAGTTTGAGAAACCTGTATACTCTTTCTAGGAAAATTGAGATACATATCAGCACATTAAAAACTCTGAGACATCCTGAAGTAAAAAAATCTGTTTAATGTTCTTTATCCTAGGGGCTTTAACCACAAAGTCCTTCCTTAATGAAACATGTATCCTCTTCCCTTAAAACTACTTTGAGAAAGGCTTGTTAAACCAGGAGCCCGTCAATGGGATCCTTGGCATCAGTGACTAGAGTTTGAAGACGACATAGATTACTTTAACTTTTGTTATTTCAGCCAAGCAAGAGAACCAATATCATGTCCATCTATAACCACAATAACTCTAGTACCTTTATGTCAAAGCTGGAAATGTAAGTCCTCATAACATTCCAACCGAGATTAAGTGTCACAACATCATAGGGCAGGGTGGATAAAGCCAGGGATCCGGCATCAGCCTTCCAGAGCTCAAATCCGGGCTCCACCACTTCCCAGCTGGAGAAATCACTGAACCTCCAGGACATAATGTTCTCATCTTTAACATAGTGGTTAAAGATGGTACCTACCTCAAGGGTTGCCATGAGCATTAAATAAGATAAGTCACATAAAATCCTTGGCTCAGTGCCTGGCTCAGTAAATATGTGTCATCATCATCATCCCCATGATCCCTGTCATCGTCATCCTGCAGTCCTTCAGGCGCCATCTCCTTGGCTGTAAGTTCCTGTTCAGCCAGTGTCAGTGCCAAACCACTGAACTTCCCCTTCCTTCTGGCGCCAGGAAAGCAGTCTTTTAGGGAACACGAAGTAAAAGATGAACATTCTGGCCTCACTGAGGGCTTGCAGCTATTTCATATTGCTTTGTCTTGGCAGAGAAAACAAGGAACATTAGCAGGTGACCACGTTGAAGGTAAAACAGCAAAGCCGATGTGATGTGATGTGATGACCCTCGAGTTTTGTGTATTTCTGATAAAATCAAGGTTCAGAAACCAAAGTTAAGTCAAGTTATGTTTAACCATTGCCACACTTAAATTATTCATTTCATTTAAGTAATAATTCCAAATTTTGTTTCATTGTGCAAAACTGTAAGTGTATATTTTAAATTATCTTATCAAAATAAGTTCGCCTCTTTTGGGTGTGAGTAGCAAAAGTCTAATATCCAAACTCAAAACTGCCCTGGCCATCTCTGTCCCCTTTCCCTCTCCCCACTCCCTCCTCCTCTTCCTCCTCCGCCTCCTCCTTCTTTTCTTTCTCTCACTCTTTTTCTCTCCCCAATTTTTCTTCCTCTCTCAAGAGAAGTTTTTCGACCTTAAAACTTTTAAGACAAATTTTTAAAAATTTCTCCGCTCAGATTGCTTTGAAATATTCATCATTTCCTTCATATGACAAACAAGAAGTGTTTTTTGTTTTGACGACAAAGAATAAATGGCTATATTGAACTGTGAGGATCTTTTAGAAACAGAAGTTCTCTAATACTTGCATATGATAAAGAAAGAAAAAACTAAGGTCTTATCTGAACTATGGCAGTTTCCCGCAGACATTGGATTCATGGCCCCTGTATGACTGACGAATCACCTAACGGAACATCCACCGTGTCAGTCACTGCTGGAAGCTTGTACAGCCCAGCTAGTCGGGCCGGGTGATGCACAAATTTGCTCTCAGCATACCTGCACCTGCCTTTGCTCCACTTTGAAATGTTTTGTAAAATTGCCAGTGTTAATGCAGATGCATGAACCATGCCAAGGAATTGACAGAGTAGGAGCGTCTCAGGGTTCTTTCCCCTCCTTACCCACATTCAGCATCGCTCAGTGCAAAAGATGTGCATGACTTGTGTGCACAAGCTCTTGGCTTGTCCTAACTCCCTTATATATTTTAACTAAACTTAAAGGAACTGTTAAAGGATTGACGGTGCATTTCATTCAAATATATCCTAAATTGCTGCGATTATGTGTTTAGAGCTTTATATACATTGATTAAACCTCCTGAACCTCTCTGTAAGTAATTACCTTCTTTAGATACATCTCGTTCCTTGTGCTGTTGGTTGTTTCAGCACACTATTAATTAGGCGGAAGAAGCATTTGTTTCATTCACCCTGACTGGCATCCTTTAGTCTGAATTATTCTAACTATTTTACTTTCTGTTTGCTCATTTTTTATGGGAATCACCTTATAAACTCAAAACTCAAAATGTCTTTTCCATTTTTTCCTCAAATTGCTCTCTTTATCTGATTTTGTCTTTAATTTTCAATAGCTCCCAAAAAACCATCTTAATTAACTGATAAATAGATTTGACATGCTTCTCTTAACATCACACCATTTTTCTAAGAAATAAAGTATTTTCCTACTACAAATCTCAGGCTCATTTTAATTCCCTTAACCTGTTTGAAGCAAGCTGAAGGTAATTAATTAAAGATAATTCACTCAAAATTTGTAATTGTTTTAAGTTAATTTCACCTCTATCATGTCTCCTGAATTTTCCCAATTACTAAATGCCAACCAAAAACTTTTATGGAAAAACGACATCATGAGTTTTTCTCTTTGTTTCTTCTACCTTGGTATGATGGTTGATATAGTCACTAGACAAATTTGGAGTGTATGTAGCTGATGTCATGTATTTTGTACTATCTTATCATATTTTCAAAACTTACAAATTGCTTTTATTTGCAGGAAAGTTGTGGGGGAGGGAAGATGTGGTTGACAGTGAGGGAGTGGTAAGACCTCATGCTACCATTTGAGTGAGAAGAATGTTTATAATGGGGGCATTCCCTATCTTTCTCCCCCTAGTGTTGAGCCTACTTCCCTCTCACTCTCCTGAATTACCGGGGTCCCCCGAGAGGGTCCCACCAGTCTTGTGTCCTCAGACCTGAGCTCAAAGGCTATGCCTTCGCTACAGGTGTACCTGGCGGCAGGCACCGTGTATGGACTTGAAGGCCAACTGAATGAGCTGGAGGATGCCGCCCGCTGCATCCACAGTGGCACTGATGAGACCGAACTGGCAGATCTGGAGGACCAGGTGGCCACAGCTGCAGCCCAGGTCCACCATGCCGAGCTCCAGGTAAGAACTCTCCTCTCTGCCCAGATCGAGGACTACCGGGCAAAAGGAAAGGGCACCCCACCTTCCAAAAGAATTGTTTCAAAGCCTTTGTATCTATCAGTTCCTGCCATCTCCCATGCACTTGCATGATTACAGTCCTTTCAGGATTTAATTCCACTGAATCTTCCCTTTTTAAAGTGCAGCCATCTTCTCCCCAAATTATAGTCTTGATAATATATCAGACTTCTCTTTAAAACCTACGCCACTTTCCTCTTGGACAAATCTCTGACCCATAGGTAGGTCTCCTTGCTATACAGGTTCCCATTCCACCCCAAGACCACCCTTCCCTAACCTTTATCACACTGCTGATTACTTACTTAATGCCACTTTTCCCCACTAGAGACTAAAAGCTCCATGAGGAAAGGACTATAGCTGTCTAGCTTAACACAGCAACTCCAGGGCCTAGCACAATACCTGACACAGATTTGGCACTCAATAAAAAGAGGATGAACAAATGAATGAAATTGGAAGTGTGGATTTCTCAGACCAATAATTTGCATGATTTTGATATGCTGTTTCAGAACAGATCACTATATTATCTATAACTTTGTGAAGATGCCTGTTGTTTGCAATTTTCATGGCCTTTCACTCTGGATCAGAGGTGACCATGGACTAAGCCACTGATTTTCAAACTGGGGTCCATGGACATACACATAGGGACCCATGAGAAACGCTGGTCTCTGCAGCATACTCTCAGTATAGACTCGTGGTTAACTGATATTTCTATAGACCCTGCATCTTAAACTGTATCCTTGGGAGAACTGGGTCAATAGAAACCACCTCTGGATAGAGAAGATGACAATCTTGCGTGGTAATTATTTTAAAAATAAAAAATTTTATTTTGAAGCATCAAAACTCACAACAACCGCTGACATCATTAAATGCTCTTGAGAATGCCAGAGCACTGAGTCTCCCCTCTGTGGATGGGTTATTGCTGCATACTAGGAATGGTCTCATCACAGATGGCCCTGTTGACTATTATAAGCAAGAGTAGCTGAAGAGCAACTGTCCTCAAATAAAAATCGTTTTCCATAAATGCCACCTAATATTTAATTAATTTATATTCAAAGTGATGTGAAGTAGAATCAATCATTCATTTTCTGGGGGTACATTTTGCAGCAAATACTTCTTGAATGGTTTAGCAGGATGTAATATTATTTACAAGTGTTTGGGAGGGTTTTATTGGATAATTAGTTATTCCTGCTTCCAAATTTTTCTGGGCTTAATTTATTGGGGCCATGTTTTATTGCATAAAATCCTGGAGTCCATAATGTCCATTTTCCAGGTGTTTGAATGTGCCTATTAACTTATTGTTCATTTTTAAATATTACAGTAATGTTATCAATAACACTTAATATTCAGTGAGCCTTACTTTGTGACAGGAATTGTACTCAACGCTTGATCTCACTGTTGTATTTAATCCTTTCAGCAACCCCATGAGGTGGCTACTGGTGTTATTCTCCTTTTATGTCTGGAGAAACAGGCTCAGAAAGGTTAAACCACTTGCCTAAGATCAAGTGCCTAGAAAGTGATGAGGCCAGGATTTTGATTCAAGTTTTTCTGACCTCATAGTCCACATTCTTCACCAGTGTGTGCTATGTGGTTTCCTGAGAAACGTGTTGGTTTTGCCATCAGGCATATATCCACTTATATAAAAATTGTTAATTTGCAAAGGAGATTGTCAACCCTGCCTTCAGCTTTATGGATCTTTTCAACGTGGGAACCTTCATTAGCATAGAGACTCTCCCCGTACTGCCCGTTGCTGCCAGAGAATGAAGCCTCAGACTGCCTGTTGTCTGTTCTCATGCAAAGCTGAGTCTCAGAGAAGATGTCACAGAGGGTGCCCTGCAGGATGGTAGGAGGGGTTCCACTGAGGAGGGTAGATGTGCTAAATTGTGTTCTTGGATTAGGTCACATTCTAGGGACGCTATCACCTTGGAGTTTACCTTTGGGACAGGATTGCCTAGTGCTGAAGGAGATTGCAGGACGATCCATGGAGAACATGGAAGCTAAGGGTGCTGTCCACTGCGTCATGCAAGGCCATCCCTGTGGGCCTTCCTGGGGAAGGTCTCTCTTAACTCTTAGTATCAGGAAAAGTCGTTCTTTTGAGTACTGGGTCTTTATCTTGTGGACATAGAGTCCTATACTAATCTCTTTGCTTTGGCTTCCAGGAAACTCAGAGCTGAATTGGTCATTCCCTTCTAGCAAGTGTAAGAGTCATTGGGTTGCAGTCTTAGTAGTTAATTGGAACATAATTAAATAGATAGATAACAAAATGGAGGCAAAATCAGCCCTCAGTAGTCTCCTTTCCTCTTTCTTTGTCCTTTGCCCTATGGACTAAAACTTGAAAAATTAACCCCTTCTTATTCCAGAGTCTGGCAGTCAGCAAATCAGGAGGTCAATAGCTTGCTCTCCCATTGCCCTGTCTTTCAGGGCACTCTGAGCAAGGCCCTCCATCAAAACTGCTTCTGGGAAAGAATGTGAGGATCTAATCCACAATGACTGATAAAAGTGTAGCCATCAACCTTTCACAAAGCCTTGTGCAATTTATTGATCTGTAAACCAAAGGAATGCAGCTCTCAGCGTGAATTTGAGGAGTGAGAACAAAAAGGCACCTGGGAGCCAGGGAGGGGCAGGGGCTGCACAGTGGCCGTTCTGGGGACTGGTGGCTAGGCAGCTTAACTTGCCTTCTTTCACCAGCTGCCAGTCTTGGCCTTCACCTACCTCCTCCTCCTTTTCTGAGCAAGACTGCCACTCCTTGGGGACAGGGGAAGCGTCTCCCATATGTGCTGACCTCTCAGCCCTTCTCTCTACAGTTCCAATAGTAGGTATCCCGATCAGCTTTGTCCAAAGGAGCCCTCAGTAAATGACGGTAGAAATAGAATTTGTCTTGAGTAGCACAAAATAGTTGAGGGATAGAGGAGGCAATGGAGACCTTGGAGTGGAGCGCACACATGTTGGCTTCTGGGCCTACTTTCAGGTTTCTTGTTTGATGCCCCAGCAACATTCAGGTTGTGCCATCTCGGCAGGACAGCTGCAATCCCTGCCTCCTCTGTCAACTCTGCTAGCCTTCTCCTGCCTCTTCCAGCGTCCCCCATGCCAGGCCTTGCCAAGTCCTCTTAGAATGTGGCAGTGTGGCAAGAGCGTGAGCATTGGCATTAATTCTGAGCTCTGCCCCAGACCAGCTGTGAAATGTTGGGTATATTACTTATCCCTCTGAGCCAGTTTCCTCATCTGTAAAACACAGAGAATGGTACCTATGTCATAGGATTAGGAATGAGTTCATGAATGAGGCATGAATAAGTTCATGTATTTAAAGCACTTAGCATGGTGATGGCACATAGTAATGTCCTTTTCTGAGAGCGGGGACTGTGTCTTCTTCATCCCTGGGGACATGGATGGACCAGTGTTCTATCTGGGCACTGAGTGGGCTCTTGCTCTCTATATCTGCCTTAAGACTCTGTTGGAAGGAAATCTGAACTCTCTCTGACCTTCCGATGTTATAGTCAAGGAAACTGACGCCTAGGGAGAAGAGGGAATTTCTTAAGGCCATTTGGCCTCTTAATGGAAGAAATGGACTTGAACCAGGAGCTGCTAGGCCTCCCTCCTGAGATCTGGTGCTGTGGTTTTGGTTCATGGAATCATGGAAGAAGAAAGCAGGACTATAAATCATGCTTGCCTTTCAACGCTCACATCAAGTGTTGCCTCTTATGGAAGCCTTCCCTGACCACCTGCCTCCCGGCCCCATGCTGAGCCAGGCATCCCTGGGCCAGGATTCCTTCCCATCATGCCCTGGGTTCCCATTTATCCCTAGGAGTACTCTGTCAGGGGTGTTGATATGCTCTAGAGCTACAGAACTAGACGTTTACATTTACGAAGAAAGGCCTGTGTTTTATTTTGTCACTATAGCACTAAATAGAGAAGAGCTTGGTAGAAGTTGAATGAACGAATGAATGGGCATACATCAAAGCAGATTTGTTCTTTATAGGTTCATAAAACTTTCAGCAAAGATTCTCCCCTCCTGTGCTCTCTCCCTGCTGATTCTGTCTTTCCGTTACATTAAGATTTCTGATATCGAGAGCCGGATTTCAGCCCTGACCATTGCAGGATTAAACATTGCGCCGTGTGTGCGCCTCACAAGAAAACGAGATCAGAAGCAAAGGAACCAGGTGTGTTTGTCTCTCACTCCCTCTGTTGGAATATTGCATGACCTGGAAAATTTAGAAGATAAAATGTCTTTGGCTTTGCAAAAGTGTATTGATTGCTCTGTTCTGTTTGTAGGTACAAACCATAGACACATCAAGGCAGCAGAGGAGGAAACTGCCTGCTCCACCACTGAAAGGTATGCTGAAATTAAAACCACAAAGCTGTCAAAGAATGAAGCCTGACTCATTTACTTTGAGTAACTCAGAGATCTGAGTTTGAGGGCCAGATCTAAGGGGGAGTTCTCACCCAGAATTGGTCTTGTGGAGAGTCTGTCTTGACTTGGATGCACCCAAGAAGCAGACTCTGGGACAAGGATGTGATTTGGGAGGTGATTCCAAGAAACACTGGGAGTGGAAGAGAGAAGTGATTCAGGGAAGGAAATCAAGTCAATACAGTGTACTTTAATTAGTAGTTTACCTCTTTGGGCAAATGAGGCTAAATCCTTTTGGGGACTTCTGGGAGACAGTATTGACTGTACCTCGGAGTTTCCTGCTCAAAGAGTAGGAGGATGAGGTGTTTCCACTCTCATCAATCATTGCCTGAAGGTTATTCCTGGGGAGCATTAAATCCCTGGCACTTCTGACCTGCCACATGCATGGACCAAGAGAGAGTGATGGTGCTTGCAGTAGAATCCTGTCAGAATGTGCTGGAATGGTGACTGTCAGGGAGATGTGAGCAGGGCACCAAAAGCATCTAACACAGTGCCCAACCTAGAAGGTATTCCAGCGACACCGGCATTACCCTAATCCACTGGACATTTTCAACAATTTCCCTGGATTTAGGAGCCACATAATGATGATGCCAAACTAGAAATTTAGGTCTACAGATTAGAAGAGTAGAAAGTCAGATATGTTTGAGTCTTGGTTCCACCATTCATTGTTCAACAAACATTTATTGAATGCCTACTTTATATTCCACAAAACCCTATACAATTAAAATTTATTACAGATCCACAATCCCTTATTTGAAACCCTTGGGCCAATATGTTTCAGAATTTCTTGGACATTAGAAAGGTAATATGGTACATGTACTGTATGTTCATAACAGCTCCCTACCCATGCTGTCTGGGGCAGCATCTGATAAGCACATTCATATCTTTGCAGCAGAGCATGAGAATGTTCATACTCAGTGAGATGGACAAGGACTTTAAATGGCTGCATTTCATTCAAGTCAGGTTTTGCCGTTTGACAGTTTTGGCTCCAAAGTTATAAAGATTTGCAGTTTTAAGAGCCTTTTATATTTCAGAATTGCTAATAAGAATTTATGGAGTGTATTGGATTATCTCCAAGCTACCTTCTCCCAGAAAGCGACTAATGATGCCTTGATTTATTTGGTCCGTCATAAAAATAAACACAAAATAAGATCCCACAATCAGACCTTTGGACCAGAATGAGATGCCAAGTCTAGAATAAAAACCTGGGTAATCCAGACACCTGGTCTTTCTTAACAATTGCTCCATCTTCTGGGTAACACTTATTCCCATTTGTTTCCCTTTAGCTGAAAAAATTGAGGCATCTTCAGTGAACGCTGTTAAAACATTTAACCGCAACTTCATTCTCCAAGGCTCCTCAACAAACAGGACTAAAGAAAGGAAAAACACCACCAAGGATTTGATGGTAAATGTCATCTCTGTTTTAATGCCCATCACTTTCACTGTTGATGGTACCTCCATTCTGTACCCCTTCTTTCTGTAGCTCCCCGATCAGAGCCACAAGAAGCATCATTCCTGCATGGTCTCATGGTCTTTTGGTTGGGCAGTGGGGGTCTTTGTATAGCTAACCTCTTTGATACGTGGATACATCCTCTCAACTATATCTCCAGCTCCTTGTAGGAACCAGGTTTGATATAAGACAGATAAAAATATGTACACAGGAATGTAAGTTCTGGTTGAGGTGTAAGAGTTTTTATTCTGGCTTTGATCCATATTCACTCTTTCTTAATTTTCTTGTTAGCCATTAGTTACTTGTTGTGTTCCTGAAAAAAGTCAGCAGCTGCCCGTAAATGTAGCAAAGGAAGAGACAGTAGATAATTTGTACAATCCTGGAGGTCATATAGAGAGAGCTAATGGATGATTTGTCTAAACACCAACATATGCTTCATAATTTTGGCAAATACTTGATGCTGCTTATATGGGAGATGATGATCCAGCCAAACTGCTTCTGTGATACCATTATGCTGAGGGCAGACAATGTCTGGGGTGACAAGATTGAAGCAAGGGCAAATTTATTCTGTTGCCTTTTATGCATCGCCCTTTGCTCCCTTCCTCTTCCTCCTCCTCATTGTCCCTGTGTCATGAGCACAGAAGCACCAGGTAATGATATAATGGTGGGTATGTCCTTTTGAATTACAGATTGCTACATCTCTTAGGCACCATATGGCAATAATGCTGCCCACTGCCTTTCCTTCATTGGTCAGCCATTACCTCTGACCTTTCAAAGTCCAGTTACCTTGCTTCTGGCCATTACTTCAAAGAGCTAAAAAGATGATTATCACTAAAAGGGCAGACCACTAGAGCCAGGGAAGAAATCTGTTATAAATAAGATAGTTAAAAATAAATTACCTTTCACAGAGATAGAACATACATCAGTGGGCAGCATTATTTAATATAAATTAATTTAAATTAATATAAAATTAATTTATAGTTTAATCCAATTCTCATAAAAATCTTAGTGGGATTTTCTTTTGAACTAAAGTTTGTATAAGAATAAATCAGAAAGAAAAGACAAAAGCATGTTGCAAAATTAAAGTGATTTCCCTGTGAGATTTTAAAACCAATTAAAAGCTTTAAAGAAATTGATGATTAATGGAATAGAAGAGAAAGCTTAGAAATAGATACAGCCATATATGAGAAAGTGTTATATGATTTTTAAGACAGCATTAGGAACTAGTAGAGAAGGTATAGCTTATTAAAAAAATTTAAAAATAATTTTAAAAAACTGTGCTTGAGAAATTGGCCATGGGGATGGTAGTGGGAAGAGAATCAAATTAAATAATCGCCTTATTCCACATATCAAAATAAATTTCAGATAGACTAAGAAGTACATGTAAAAAAATGCACCACTTTTTAAATATTGTGAAATGCCTAACTGGTCAATGAGCACAAATACCTTTTATGATGTAAAAAAGCACTAAACATTGTTTTTATTTTTTTATTTTATTTTATTTTTTTATAATTTTTATTTATTCTTTTTTCCCCCAAAGCCCCAGTAGATAGTTGTATGTCATAGTTGCACATTCTTCTAGTTGCTGTACGTGGGACGCGGCCTCAGCACGGCCGGAGAAGCAGTGCGTCGGTGCGCGCCCGGGATCCGAATGAGGGCCGCCAGCATCGGAGCACACGCACTTAACCGCTAAGCCACGGGGCCGGCCCTAAACATTGTTTTTAATCCTCTCTCCTCACTTTTGCCAAGTGGCTGATGACAGTGTGCTCATTGTCTTGCCTCAGGAGCCCACCCTGGAGTCTGCTGGGATGTATTAGCACCATGGAACTCCACTGCCAGTGACCCACTGCCTCCGGCCGTACACGACAGTGCCTTGACCCAACAGCCATCGAACACTGTATGGATTTCCACCTGAGGAGAGGGCCTGGGAGACCACAGTGCACCATTGCACAGGGCTGTCCTGATACCTCACCCAGAAAGCAGTCCCAGACTTCAGCATTGTGGTCTTGTCCACCCTCTGCCTTAGGCTCCCGGGGAATCCAAGACAGAAAACCAAGACGCTGGCTTCCAACAGCAGAGCTCCATGTTCAAAAGATGCATCTTTTCCCTGTTCGCTTTGCTACTGTGTGTTGTCTTTAAGATCTTTTTTTTTTATCCCTTTGATTCAATCAGAATTACATGTCAATTATTTGTCCAAAGGAAAATTGTGGGAAGAGGGGATGGTGGAGGGAAGGGAGATGGGTATTATCATTCAATTGATCATCAATTCTTATCAATCTCCCACAAGCATCTTTGTCTTACAAATGCTAAGGAAAAAAGTGAAAATTCCCCTGTAGTGAGCACTAGGGACTGTCAAATATGGGGAGTGCTCATCCATCAAGGATGCAGGCCTCCCTTCAGCTGCCTTCTTCTTGCTAAGCTCCCAGTTCACTGCACTACTAGTCATTCCCATTGCTTTGCAATCAAAAGCCAAGAAAGGAAAGCTTGGACTCACCCATGCCACACCCAGGTCTGTCTGAAACAATGTCTCACTAAGAACTTAGGGCTCTTCCTTGGACTTATGAGAGCTCCCCCACTCCGAAGGGGAGAGGGGCTTGAGAAAGTCCACCATCAGCTTAACTTTAGGGCACTGTCCACAATCAACATGACACGGTTTAGCAATGATTGCATCCGAATGTGGTTAGGTAACTGGATTACTGTAGAATACAGCCACATGAGAAAATATTGTCCTCCAAAATTGATTTCCCAATAAATATTCAGAAAAAGTAGTAAAATGACCTTAAAGATAAAAATGGTTAAGGAATAGCCTTAGAAAACTTAGAGGTATGAAAAAAGCAAGGATAAACTGTGAACTTAATGGACACAAGAGTTGACACCAACTCTACATTTGTCAAAAACAAGACTATTTAGAGTGTGTTTATAAAAGCAAGTGGAACTGGAATTTCACTCAATTAATTGAACATTAGCAACCTTTTTTTAATTTGCTCCTGATTATTCTGAATCTGAGGAGCAAGGCAAAGATGGGAGGCAAGGGACTAGTGTGACTGATGTTTAGTAAGTGACCGCTCTGAAGGAGGCAGTATTCTCATTTGAATCCTTATAGCAACCCTATTCAGTAGGTATCCCCATTTTTCAGATTTGGAAACTGAGGGCCAGAGAGATTAATTTGCCAAAGTCACATCTGTAAGCTAAGTGTAACTGGAATGCCTCACAAAAGCCTCACTCTGTTGTTTTCAGCTTCTACGTTCTTTTGCTGCTATGCACATTTTCAGACCTGATTTGCTGCTGAAATGTGTATAATGACCCATTCCTGATGGGGGTCTACCCACCTTCCAATAATACTCTTTGCTGATGCTGTGTATGTATTATCCAACAGAAATGACTCCTTTGAAATAAAGTAAATCTTTGGCTTTTTGTTCTGTTGGTGTGATTCAAAGCAAACAAATACAAATTTTAAAAACACAACAAAAAAAGGTTTGAGTTCCAAATAGAACGTTTTTCTAAGAGGCATGAAAAGCAACTATTGTTGTGTTACAGTGTTAAAATATTCAGTTTTGTTTGACAAAAATGTGTACTGTGTAAGCCTTGCAAAAAAACAAAAAAAGAAGAAGAAGCCTGCTCTATGGCATTTGAATTTTTATAAAGGTTTCCTTGTGCCAAATAAGTGCAAAGATTTAATTTACTATTAAAAATCATTAGCATATGTTATAGTTCCAGAAGAATTATTTTGTCATCAAGTGATTTTGATCTTCAGTGTCAATATTTATATTTAGATTAATTTTTATAAATGAAAATATTTTAATGGTTTAAGAAAATGAGGACAATGAGACCATATCTTTGATGACTTCTGAAAGTTATGCTTGCCTTCATGTTATATGCACATTGCCAAGAATCACTGTCAAGAGAAATGATGAAGAAGTAAAAGTCATTTATGAAAATAACGTTTGTGGGTGTGTGGGTTTTCTTTGGTTAGGGGAGACCGGGAGTGAAGAGGGGATAGGGAAATAAGTCAATGGCTAGTCATGGGAGGGGCCAAGATTCAAAGCTACTGTTGCCCCACGCCTCATGGTCCTTGCAGTTACACACTCATCTCTCCATTGCTTGTTCTCCTGAGAACAGAATTTCCTAGTGACCACCTCTACTGAGTGGTCCCTCAGGTAAGACCAGCAGTTCTCAAAGCAGGGGGCAGGAGCGGGCAGTGTGATTTTTGTCCCTCAGGAAACATTTTTGGTTATCACAACGTAGGGTGTTGGGAGCAGGATGTATGCTACTGGCATAGAGTGGATAGCGGCCAGGGATGCTGCTAAACATCCTACAGTACACAGGGCAGCCCCCCACAACAAAGAATTATCCAACTGAAAATGTCAATAGCGCCAAGGTTGAGAACCCAGGTTAGACCCTGGAGGTAAGCCTGAACTTCAGTTGAGAGCCCCTGCCGGTCTCGGTGGGGAATGTGTAGCTGAGTATGAAGCGGGATGGTGACTCTCCCTGAGTCTTGCACAGGCTCAGTGCAACTGTTGCTCCTTGAGGCCGGCCTGCCCAGAACACTGAAGCCAGGGATGGCCCCTGCCGTCCCCAAATAGGAATAGGAACCCTCCACTAACTTGAAATGAATGAGTGAATGAAAATACTCATTGACGCCAAGAGCTTTCTCTGCCTGATGGCCTATCACAGTAGTACTCAAATTTGAGTGGGCGTCAGAATCACCTGTTAATGCACAGATTGTGGGGCTTGTTAAAACACAGATTCATGGGATAAATCCCATCATTCCCAGTCCTCAATTTCCCTTTCTGTACACTACCATTAATGTGTCTGGCACAATAATGTTTATGAAACATTAATAACAAACAAGCTAACATTTAGGTTGACGGGGCATTTCAGGTGGGGTAGAGGGGAGAACATCAGTCGATCCATCGGAAATCCTCTCCAGGCAGCATTTCCTGGCCAGAATTCCTGATTGCTCCGTCCTCCCACCCCACACCCCCATCCCTATAGGATAGCAAGACATGTAAGGCAGTGAAGAGGGTCCGGTCACACTCAAGTTATAGGAGCATTCAGCCTCTCTAACCCAGAAGCCCAAAAGCATGTGTTGAGCAACCAACCTGCATCAATAATCTGAGTAGTCAAGAAAATCAATTTGAGTCAACAAGTTGAGTATCAAGAGTGACAGGCAGCTATGCTCAGAAAATTTACAGCTCCTCTTGCTTCTGGGGTGAATTGGAACAGTGTAAAGATATTTTCCCCTAAGAAATAAGTGATTTGCCATGACAAAAAAAAAGAAAATGTGACCCAATATTCAAAGCATTTGAAGGCTACCAGAAACATCGGCTCCACTCTTAGACTTTCCCTTTACCAGCTCTGTGGCCTGTCACTTCATCTGTAAAGTGGGGTTACAAATAGCTTCCTTGTGATGTTGTTAAAAGATTAAATGAAATAACATGTGAGAAAACTCTCAGCAGAATGCTTGGTAGCTATAGGTACTCAATTCTTATTTCCTCCTTTTTCTCTTAGAATAAGAAAATCATTCAAATATCAGCACTATGACTTATTTTGCAAAATGCTGTGCCTCCATTTTTCTATTCATAGTAGAAAAGATCGTTGTTTTGCAACTATTCACTCCCTTTACCCTCCAACTTTGGGAGGAGCACACCACCCTGACTCCTTGACTTTGGGCTTGGCCGGGTGACTTGCCTCGTGGTTGGTAGAGGGTACTTCTCTTAGTTCGTTCCGGCTGCTGTAACAACATACCAGAGACTGGTAGTTTATAAACAACAGAAGTTTATTTCTCACAGTTCTGGAGGCTGGAAGTCCAAGATCAGGGTGCCAACACGGTTGGGTTCTAGTGAAAGCTGTTGCAGACTCCCAACTTCTTGCTGTGTCCCCACATAGTAGAAAGGGGCTAGGGATCTCTCTGGAGCCTCTTTTAAAAAGGCACTAACGGCAAACATGAGCGAGGACCCTCACAACCTAATCACCTCCCAAAGACCTCTCCTCCTCATACCATCATATTAGGGGTTAGGTTTCAACATAGAATTTTGGGGGGTCATAAACAATCAGACCATAGCATTCTCCAACCATTGGTTTGGGCTTGGCCATATGACTTGCTTAGGTTAATGAGATGTTAACGGAAGAGTTACATAAGGGGATTGAAATATGTTTTTGGAGTTGGGTTTGTCCACTTACATTTTGCCATTGACTATGAAAACATGCCACAGGCAGCCCACTGGTATGAGGAAATGACCCAGACCCAAGCTGCAGCTCATAGCCAAGCTCAGCTGAACCCAGCCAAAATCAGCAGAGCCAGCCCAGCCAACATGTAGACATGAGCAAGAATAAATCATTGCTCTTTAAACCATTGAGTTTTGGGGTGGTTTATTATGCAGCAATATCTAACTGATACACTACCTGAAAAACTAGTTTTGTCACCTTAGATTAATCCTTGTGTTAGGGCTAAAGATGAGTGAATATCAATATAAAGTTGCATGCCAATATAAAGGATGTATAAGCAAACTATTGAGCTACTTGTTTTGACATTTCACAACTTACATATGAATTTTCAGTTACATTTTTGGGAGGGTCTCTCTACCTCTCTCTATTTGTGTGTGTGTGTGTGAGGAAGATTGGGCCTGAGCTAACATCTGTTGCCAATCTTCCCCTTTTTGCTTGAGGAAGATTAGCCCTGAGCTAACATCTGTGCCCATCTTCTTCTATTTTATATGTGGGATGCCGCCACAGCATGGCTTGGTGAGCAGTGTGTAGGTCTGCACCTGGGATCCGGGCCTGCAAACCTTGGGCCACTGAAGCGGAGCACGAACTTAACCACTACACCACCTGGCCAGCCCCATCTCTGTCTCTTTCTCTTAATGTGTGTGTATTGATCGTTCACAAAGGGTCCTCTATTCGTTGAAATTTTTTATAAAACATTAAAGCACAGGAGACATTTGGCATGTTCCTTTAAAAATAACTTCTCACACAACAGCCACTCTATTTTCTCCCAGGGGAAGCATTTCCCATACAAAATTTGCATTTTACAGAACAGTTGGTTGCGTGAGCCTTCTGTCTCTGCAACTGCGTTATAATTATGATAAAGTGCAGGTAAATGAAGTTGCATTTTAAAGACCTTTCAAGGGGCTGGAAAACTTTAATATCCACTTCAAACATTGGAAACCTCAAAGAAGTTATTCAGAAGGATCCAGTTTGGTAGAATCAAATCCTAAAATATAGAAAAGCATGTTTTACATCAAAGTGATCATGTTTGATAAAGATGAAAGATCTAAGGCAGTGCTTCTCAAACTTTAATATGCAAACAAATTCTGATTCAGCAGGTCTGGGGTGGGACCCACGATGCTGCAGTTCTAACAAGCTCCCAGGTGATGCCAATGCTGCTGGCCATACTTTGAGTAGCAAGAGTCCCTCAGAGGGTCCCCTGCAGGGTTGAGGCCCAGTTACCCACAGTGGTAACCTGTTCATTGATGCCTCTTTTGTGACTTTTCCTCCCTTCAGTCTCTCATGTTCCCCCGCCTGCAGCATGTATCCTGGGGTCACTTCTCAAATGAACTACTCAACACAGAGTCTCATATGGGGAAAACCTAAACTAAGACATTCTCTGTACTGCATATATATGTTTGCATCTCTTTCTCCTGCACTGACCTGAAAGTTTCTTGAGGAATTGGGTTCCATTCACTCCACACAGAACTTAACACAGAGCAGGTGCTTGAAACAAATTTGGTTCACCTAGGGTGGCCGTGGTGGTCCTAGCTTTAGGCTGTGGTCACCCCATGCCCATGTGACTAAACTGAAGATCATGTACTACAGGGAGCAATCCCTCTCATACCCATCCTGGCCTTGCAGGTGAGAATCCTCCCAACACTGAAGTGTATAGGAGGAATATCCACACCAAGATGGAGGAGCAGAAGGCTCCCCCAAACCTCTACTTCACCCTCAACCCTCTTCTAGAGATGGGGGCAACCCCACATGGCAATGAATGGTCCAGGTACCTGCTGCCCAAGGTCCCAAAGCACAAGCCCCTGTATCCACAAATGCTCACGACCTGTGGGCCCCAACAAGACAGTAGCAACTTAGGCTTAGTTTAACCAGGCCTCTTACTACACTATCTCTAGGCTGAGGAAGAGTTAATCCAGAGTTCTTGGATGCCATCACCCCTTCCTGCTATCATTGATAAGGCAGGGAAGACTTTGAGATGCTTACTCTGTGCATTGACTTCTTCAAACATGGCGCATGTGCCCAGCCATGGCCCATTTTTCTCTGAGTGGATCCCTCTCCTTCTTCCTTTGCCCATAAAAGCCAGAACTTGAGGAACTCAAAAGTTAGAGCAGTAGTTTCCAAAGTGGGGTAGAGACTACATGTGGGGCATAGAAGATAGTCAATTGGGGGCAGATGAAAGAAAATATTAGACTTTCTTTTTACACTTATTTTTTATCTGGAAGTAAACTTTACCAATATTAAATATATGGATAAATGAGAGTACATGTAAATAATTTATAAATGAATATACATATTTTGAGGGTGCACTGTCAAACAGTTTTTACTGATGGGATGTGTGGCCATAAAGTTCAGAGACCACTTACTAGTTAGAAAAACCTAGTAAGCTTCTGATGCCTCAAATTTCCCCTCCAACTAGTCCCCACCCCACCTCTGTCAGGGACAGTGCTAACTCTCAAGACCTGACTTAAAGCTTTAAGGGCAGCTGAAAAAAGAGAGGAGGTGGGGAGGTAATCCAGAGAGCCCCAATCTATGGGTTAGGTTCTGGGATGAGTGTGGTTCCATCCCTTTAGGAAAAAGTTTTCTGTTGGTCTTGTCTGCATTCCTTGCTCTCCTCCCCAGCCCAGGGAGGGAATGTCCACTTACTATCCACCATCTTACCTGAAGTTCTGAAGTTCAGGTTATTATGGCCCAGAAACAACCCAAGGGGCTGCCTTGA